CTAGAGCCAACAACTGCTTTTGTAATTACCTGTTTTAACGTCAAATGTTGGAGAAGTTTATATCGTCGAAAAGGGAAACAGATTCTGCATTGGGGTCTCCGCCACTTCCTCCATTCACTAATGCGAATCCTCGAGTAGCAATTTGAGAAGCAAGTAGGCTAAATGTTGACTGAAAACATCACCTCAAGGGTATATGTCGCCCTCCCCCATCCAACATACAGTATCAACAACAACGGGAAGACGTATTTTAGAAAACGACTGCTTTTGGCCGACACACAGAGACACTCCCTTTAAGCAGGGCGCCCTTTAAACAAACTAACGTAACGCCACTACATACCTAAAGTCTGCAGTCGACGCATTATGGACGATAAAAACACCAATTGGACCCAACAAGTAATGCAACATTGTCGCAAACTGCGACATTTAACTAACGAGTCCTGCTGGCTGCCGTGTGAAGGAAACAGTTGAGGACAAAAAGTCGCTGGGAGAAGCCCCGAGTGAGTGCGGTAATAGATGGTTATTTACACCGATAAAGGTCAAACAGAAGTGAAATTCAAGCCGTGCAATTGTGTGCCGTGCAACAAGCATTATCCTTACCTACACATTGAATGAGTTTGTGTGGCCACGAGTCAAGTTCCTTCCGAATGCTGTATCTGTCGATTGTGCATTGCTGCCTTTTACACAGGCTCGCCATTTTCTATAAGTCTTCCTTCTGGCGGCAGCACTACGGAAGCAGGAAGGGCTGCGTGAACGCGCACGCACCCTGCGTCAAAGGCGAAATCGCTCTCAGTATGCAAAACTGATAGTCTGATTAAATCAGTCTGTTAATCAGTAACTAACTAAATAAATGCAATTAAGTAATCTATAATATTTGTATTACCCATGTAATGACTTTTTAAAATAGTTTCTATTTTAAAGCGTGCTTTTCCTTGATAGACTACATTTTACATTTTAATTTAAATGCTGCTATTTCTATTTTTATTTTTTTTATTTAGCGCTTAAGGCTCAGTAACTATACTAGAATCATGAATTACTTACAAGGCAAAAGGGTGTCAGGTTTAGTAAGCAAGAATGTAAGTAATTGACAAAAAGTTACATTGACATTGAAGCCAACCACCTTTATCAGTTTTTAAGTTTTCCTCTCTCCACCAGAGTCTAACTTAGCTATATTAGAGAAAAATAGCTTCATGGCAATAGTTCATGATTAGCTACAAAATTTCTTATATTGATCATTCTCAAAGAAGGAATCCTAATGACAGCTGTCAGGTTACAAATAAAGAGCATTGCCAGGTGAAATACTGTAGCATTTTTCTGTTGTATTTTATTTTCTATATAGTTTTGTTTTAATTATTTTTTTTATCACTGTTCTCTCGACGTCATTTAATACCATCTTTGACTGGAGTACAGGGCGCTTATAGGGATCATTTTGTGAGGAAGAAGAGTTCATTTATATGAACATGCTCAGAGTCTGAAGCAGAAAGTCTGGGTTTACAAAGAAAGTTGAGAACCATCATTGTGATAGCCCTTATATCTGACTAACGTTCATGATTTTGTCAAGCCACCTAATGCAAAGAAAGCCAAAGTGTGTATAACTGCCTTTACAGTACATGTAAGTACATCCCTGAGGTCTTACAGTTAGGTAAATACAAGTTTAACTTGAACAAAAACACATGGCATTTTAAACTATAGCATTATTTATGTAAACCAAAATGAAATTTGGCTTACATAAATAAGGTATTACATAAATAGGTATTCTGTTTTCTGTGTTCTTGTAGTAGTTCCGGATCTAGCAGCAGATTACAATCAGGTATCAAAACATTTATGCATTTTTTTGCAACCCCTTATTGAATACAATTTGCTTTGGAATTACAGCTGAGCTTTGTTGGTAATGTTAGTAGGATGCAGCTGTACATACAGTGGGATGCAAGTGTTTGGGCAACCTTCTTAATAGTTTTCCTGTATAAATCGTTGGTTGTTACAATAAAAAAAATGTCAGTTAAATATATCATATAGGAGGCACACACAGCGATATTTGAGATGTGAAATGAAGTTTATTGGATTTACAGAAAATGTGCAATAATTGTTTAAACAAAATCAGGCAGGTGCATAAATTTGGGCACTGTTGACATTTTGTTGATTCCAAAACCTTTAGAACTAATTATTGGAACTCAAATTGGCTTGGTAAGCTCAGTGACCCCTGACCTACATACACAGGTGAATCCAATAATGAGAAAGAGTATCTAGGGGGGTCAATTGTAAGTTTCCCTCCTCTTTTAATTTTCTCTGAAGAATAGCAACATGGGGGTCTCAAAACAACTCTCAAATGACCTGAAGACAAAGATTGTTCACCATCATGGTTCAGGGGAAGGATACAGAAAGCTGTCTCAGAGATTTAAGCTGTCTGTTTCCACAGTTAAGAAACACATTGAGAAAATGGAAGACCACAGGCTCAGTTCGAGTTAAGGCTCGAAGTGGCAGACCAAGAAAAATCTCGGATAGACGGAAGCGACGAATGGTGGGGAACAGTCAGAGTCAACCAGCACCAAAGACCTACAACATCATCTTGCAGCAGATGGAGTCACAGTGCATCGTTCAACCATTCGGCGCACTTTACACAAGGAGATGCTGTATGTGAGAGTGATGCAGAGGAAGCCTTTTCTCCGCCCTCAGCACAAACAGAGTAGCTTGAGGTACGCTAAAGCACATTTGGACAAGCCAGCTTCATTCTGGAATAAGGTGCTGTGGACTTATCAAACTAAAAATTGAGTTATTTGGGCATAACAAGGGGCGTTATGCATGGACGAAAAAGAACACAGCATTCCAAGAAAAACACCTGCTACCTACAGTAAAATATGGTGGTGGTTCCATCATGCTGTGGGGCTGTGTGGCCAGTGCAGGGACTGGGAATCTTGTCAAAGTTGAGGGACACATGGATTCCATTCAGTATCAGCAGATTCTGGAGACCAATGTCCATGAATCAGTGACAAAGCTGAAGCTGCGCCGGGGCTGGATCTTTCAACAAGACAACGACCCGAAACACTGCTCAAAATCCACTAAGGCATTCATGCAGAGGAACAAGTACAACGTTTTGGAATGGCCATCTCAGTCCCCAGACCTGAATATTATTTAAAATCTATGGTGTGAGTTAAATGGAATGGTCCAAAATACCTTCAACCACAATCCAGACTGTCATTGGAACCTACAGAAAGCATTTAGAGGCTGTAACTTCTGCAAAAGGCGAACTACTAAATATTGATTTCATTTCTTTTTTTGTGGTGCCCAAATTTATGCACCTGCCTGATTTTGAATAAACTTAATTTCACTTCTCAAATATCACTGTCTGTGTCTCCTATATGATATATTTAACTGACTTTTTCTTTTATTGTAACAACCAACGATTTATACAGGAAAATGATGACTATTAACAAGGTTGCCCAAACTTTTGCATCCCACTGTATAAAACACGTTTCCCTAGAGGATCTATATGACACTGAATGCTATAAATTTTATAAAAGATGTGAAAAAGTGACACTTCCACATGATTTTTAAACAAAACTTAAGCCACTCCTGAACCAGGTTATATGTTTTGCATAAGTTGCCATGATAATTTAGCCCAGTAAAAAGAGAGAACCACTTTCATGACACTGAAAATTCTGACTTTAAGCTCAACATAGCTCACTAACCCACTGCTTCACAGCAGATGTTTACTATGTCCTGATAAAACCCTTAGAATTGAACAAATGTGTGTTTACTTTTTACCACGACTATATATCAGCTCTCTTATCATAATGGGTTGCCACAGAGGGTAGCTCTGCATTTTTGATGTTTCAGATTTCAATTTGACCAGTGTTTGTATTGGTCACTCTGTCGGGGACACCCATTCAACTGCTTGTTAACACAGATGTCTAATGAGCTAATCACATGGAAGCAACTCAATGCATTTAAGTATGTAGACATGGTCAAGATGACCTCCTGTAGTTCAAACTGATCAGTGGTGAAGAAAAGTGATTTACTACCCTTAATACCAGTTAAACATTATTTAAACACCACAGCCCACCTCTGTATTGCTCATGACCATATCCATTTCTTTATTGTATTAGTCTTTTGACTGTTGCTTCCAGCAGGATAGTGCACCATGTCACAAAGCTCAAATAATTGCAAACTGGTTCCTTGACAATGAGTCACGGCACTGAGCACAAATGGCTTCTACAGGCATCAGCTCTCAATCCAGTAGAGCGCCCCTGGGATGGCAGATTCACTGCCATAGACTGCCAGATTCATCATAGATGAGCAACCAACAATTCTGCAGTAACTGTGTGAGGTTATCATGTCAATATAGACCCAGGTCTCCAGCACCTTGTTAAATTACGTGCCATGAAGAATTGTTGTGAAGTCAGTTGTGAAGGCAAAAGGGAGTGCAGCCCAGTAGTATTAAATAAAGTGACTAGGTTATTATTAAGAAAACCTCTGCAATATACATCAGTAGGCTACCATGAGCTAGGACAGGGAGTTTGGCCATCTAACTAAAATAAAATCCCGACATCTTAATCAGATTTTTAAAAATAGTAAGAATTTAGTAGTATTAGTAGTAATAGCATGTTTGGTCCTATATAAAACACAGGATTGGCCAACAATAATGACAAAAATAATTAAACAGCTTCAGAAAAATGCCCAGCATCATTCTATGATAAATATGTCTGCCACTGTCTGTAACCTGCAGCACACTATGCCAACGGCGTTGTAATGCTACGTTCACGTGCTGCCGGAATTATTAAACCTTAGCGGAAGGGTGGCCACCAACAAAAAGTCGACAACTATAAAACATTTGATAGCAACCAAATAGGGTTTAAAAATAAAACATGGGAATTTCCCACCTTATAATTCAACGTGCAAACAAATGAATCCAAAAGAATGACGATTTTTGCATTTTTTCCAAAGCGTGTCTGGGACAACTGCTTCGATCAAGCTTACGAGGAGGACCTGAATGCGACAAACGTCTCTCAGCCGGTGTTTTCATATTTTTACGCCCCTCCGCTCTTGCACGGTGGTTTCCATGCTTCAGAGACGACAAACGTAGTCTGCAGGTAAATTATAGCGTTAACGGGTGTGCAGCCTTTCCCCCCTTGTAGATGAGATATAGGTTACATCAGATCTACCTAGGCTTTGTCATTAAAAGCGACAGCCTTTTCAGCAACATGTTATGTAAGTGAAAACTGCACGGCTCAGAACATATTGGCAACCTAAGTTGGATATTTCCAACAACGTTTCAGTGTTGGTGTGATCAATTATTTATTCGTTTGACATCACGGATGAAATTACACCTCACTCTCATTGTACATTGTACACATTATCATTTATTTCTTTTAAAGGAAGAGCGTCATTAACCATTAAATAGCAATCATCTTTGGTGTATGTCTGCCTCCATGCTACAGTAACGCTTCCAGGGTCTGAACCTTTGTAAAAGGCGTTCCTCACAACTGGGCATACCCCAGCGTCACCGCTACCAGCATGCACTGTATTATAATCAGAGTTGTGCTTTTGCAGCTATGGGATCAGATGTGACTTGCCTTTGCCTTTTTATAAAGCCTTTTTGATTATTAGCCTTCATTTTGGGGTGCATCAAATAGCTCCCCTCCCCCGTGTGCTATTTAATTATAGGAAGCGTATGAAGTTAAAATAATCCCCTACTATTTAAAGAAATTGGAAAGCTTTCTAAGGCTTTAAGGTCTAGAGGTTGTAATAGAAGCTAGATAATGCATTTATTTGTCTTTCTTTACTAAATATGACTGATTAAAGAAAAAGATCATCATAGTAAGGTAATCCTTTAAAGACTATTAGAAGCGTTCTGCTTTCATCACGTCTGCTTTATGACTGAGGTCTCCAACCCTACAGTACATATGTGTACCAAAGAGGAAATTACTTTCCTGTTCCATAGACAGAGGGACTAATAATCCCAAAAGGAATTTCTACTCAGAAGTACATGTGTGTGCGTTTTTAACTCAGTCACAGAGTGACTCAGAGTGTGTTTGTGTGCTGACAGGAAAACCATGACTCTGACCAGAGGATCTTTCACCTATGCTAGTGGGGAAGAGTACCACGGCGAGTGGAAAGAAGGCAAGACAATCCCACTTTTCAGTTTTAAAGAAAGCTTAAAGGATGTCCAAACATGTTTATGTTAATACAAGGGAGACAGGCGGTCACTTGTAGCTATGGTAGTGTGTTTAGAATATGTCTCCAAGGTGTTGTTGCTTTAGCTATCAGCTTTTAAGGTTTTTCTGCTGCTTTTTCACTAATCTTTAGTCCAGCTCTGGTAACTGACCATTTTCAGAGGAATGGTCTTTTTTCTTTTTCTTTTTATTATTTTCTTTTTATTAATCCACTGAACAGGTGAAAAAAAACACATTTTAAATCGGATCATTAGGCACTTTATTACTAGCAGCCTGTTACAAAAACGCAATTTCTTCCCATTTCTTTAGTTAAATCTACAAAAAATACCAAAGATATACTTTTTTAATCCACCATGCAGTGCCATCTAGAAAGCATCTGATTGGCAAGGGCTTCATTTTTTAGCATGCCAATGATCACAAGGACACTGGAAGTGCAGTAAAAGCATACCTGGATAGAAGAACACACAGTGAAGCACTGTTACTTATGGATTTGCCCCCCCAGAGCTTGTACCTCAACATTATTAAAGCAATGTGGGATAATTTTGACAGAGAACAGAACAAAAGGTAGCCGACCCGGCGACCCCCAAAGAAGAGATATTTTGCTCTCTTAGGAAAGAAAGCTTGTCTAAGAGAGTTCAGGTTGTGTTGGGCACGGCAAATACTAACTTTCAAGCTTTTTAGACCTGTATATTTCCTTGCATGTTTCCAGATATTTCAATAACTTTTAAATAATTTTAGTAAATTATAAAGCATCAGCTAAAGCAGCATCCATTAGATAAGGTAATAAGTAAGCTGCCTCACTGAGCTTGATGTTCACCCATCTGTGCTGGATGTTTAACTTCAGAGTACACATAACAGAGAGCTTTGTAAGTGAGTTGTATTTACATAAATAATGTTATTACAGGGAAATAGCAGGAAAGTACCAAAGGCAGGGTTATCATAAAGCTGTGGGGAAAACATCTTTGTCCAAATTTTCACCTGTCTAAAATATCACAGGATGCTTGCTCTGTTTTAAATCTCTCTAACACACATACAGTGATGCTACATTTAGTGACATGCAAGCTCAAGCTATTTAGTCAAATCCCAATTAGCAAGCACTGGTAACCCAAGACAAGCAGCGACTGAGTTGCTAGCTCTGGCTTTGTCTGGATTAGACTTTGGACCTGTTTTGGAAATCTTAGTGTCCTCTGTCAGCTGCTTCTGAGAAACTAAGCCAATATGCTAGGAATAAGACAATCCCAGAGTAATTTTCTCTTGTCATTTGGTCTGTTAAGATTTTCAGCTGCTTTTACATAAAAACAACACAACTTAACCTATTGTATTCAACAAATTTTGCTCTACCTGCATTTTCAGTGTGGCGTTCGTGGATTAAACCAGTTGCAGGTGTGTGCCCTCTGATGTGATTATAAGCTTCAGTAGTGGATCACAGGCTTCTAGGAGGGGAGTGCAAGTACATTCCTTGACTGTTTTCACAATCTGGATCCCAAAGTAGAAATCCCTGCTAAAAATCTGCTGGATTAGACTGCTGTAATTCTGAGTGCACAGGAGGCAGATGGGACAGTAGTAAACCTTTCTCTGAGCAAGGGTGGAGGGGTATTTAAATCCAGGCACGTACTAACTCATGTGACATGAGAAGCACCTCTACGGTAAAAGTGAATTTAAATCCCTCGGCCACACTGTAAGTTCAAACGGTAGGCTCGGTTTTCCATCAGTATGTTGCAATTTGTTATGTAGGAATAAACCACAACAGACCTGGTGGTTGATTTTAATTAGATTCCTCACAAGTGAATGGTATCTTCTGTTTGAAGTTACTGCCATTGCTCACTTTGATGTTGTGGAACTTTCCAGGTCGGAGACATGGTGATGGCCAGCTCAAGTTTCAGGATGGAACCTGTTACAGCGGTCAGTTTGAGAATGGACTCTTCCATGGTTCTGGTGTACTGCTTTTTACAGATGGATCCAGGTGTGTGAACAAAAAGAGTGGAAGCAACAAGAGAACAAATTTTGTACTTGATTAAAAAATAAACTCATGCTTTACTTTCACCATTTCAGATACGAAGGCGAATTTGCACACGGAAAATTTCATGGCACGGGTGTCTTCAGTCGATATGACGGCATGAAGTTTGAAGGGGAATTCAAAGACGGGCGTGTTGAAGGCTATGGTAAGAGTTTTACAGCACTGGAACAGCCTGTCCATCAAGATGTCAGTATTCTCTCTCTGTGATAGCGTCTTAGCGTCCTCTGTCTGTCCCTCCAGGGCTACTGACTTTCCCAGATGGAACTCATGGTGTTCCACGAAATGAAGGCTTGTTTCAAAACCACAAGCTGCTGAAGAGAGAAAAGTGTCCAGGAGTGGTGCAGCGTGCGCAGGCTTCAGCCTCCAATGCTCACAGCCTGGCGCTTTGACAACCCTGAAGGACACAATCGCACTCAACACCATCCGAAAGGGCGTCAGGGATTGTACTTGAATATGTTTCCCCAGCTTTTCTCTCAATGTCTTCATCTCTTCTTTTACCATGACTTTTTTTCTTGTTATGCATGATCCTCGCTCTGCTTCAACAGAGGCTTGGAATCCACATGCAAATTGACCAAATAATGACTTTCTGGAAGACTGACATGAAATATGAAGACCATAAAGCACACCTTTAACTTCAAGTTATGAATACAGTGAATGCTGCTGTTCCGGTGTTCTGAACATCGTCTTTTTGTCTTTCCTACAGAATACTTAGCCTTCTTTTATCAAACCAGGAAAATTGAGACATCTGGTTCTTTAAAGAGTTTGTAAATTAATTCTATAGGTGGAATTAATTCACCTTAAAAAGGTGCAAGCTATTACAAGAAAGTGAAACCTAAATGTACCTTTTGAATTTTTAACTAGTGGTGCCACTAGCAGTGCTTTTATAAGTGGGTCCGCTTTTGTTCTTCACATTCACATGCACAAGGACGTGCTTGCATGTGCAAGAGCATGGCAGCAACATGATTCACATTCATGACAGCATGCCCACAAAGCCAGTCACAAAGACCGAGGGCTAAAACACAGATCTAAACAATGCACCATTTCAAATAGTTTTTAATTGGCTTTGTAAAGGTGTTATGAGCAAGGAAAAGCATTCAACAAGTTTGACGGGTGGAAAAAGACACACACAGCGCGCTGACGAAACGAGGTGAATGTAAATGATTCTGAGAACACTCCAATGGCCGCCTTTAAGAGTCCCTCAACTGAAAATCCTGCTGCTAACTTTACAAAAAAAGGGATCAATTTTTCCACTTTCCCCCTTTTGAAAATCAGTATTCACGTTTGCCTTAAAGACATTTTTGTGCAAGAGTGTAGTTCAAGGTTGTCTGATTTAAAAAAACAAAAGACGCACAACGCCCTCTCTTTCCCTTCTTGACTCCATTGCTCCGAGACATATCGCTAAGCTGGTGCTGAGGGTTTAGCTCCCATCAACGCGTTACATTTACAGTGGAAATCACAACTAAATGCACTCAATTATGGACCTAAATCTTAAACAAGGCAGCAAATTGAATGATTTATAAATCAGATATCTATTTCACTTTGTAACGTGTGTAGTCCTTTTGTGATATGTATAGATAGTCATCGTCTGTGACTGTGTTTGGTTTGACCTCTGGAATGAATTGTTGGTCAGGTGGAAAATTGTACTACTGCATTATTTAACACAGTGTAGTTAAAGAACGTGTTAAGAATTTATTATTAACCTTTATAGCTGATCACAGTCGACCTGTGATTTCTGATTATTTCCGTGTACTTGAACAGTTAATAGGCCTTAAAAAGCATTTGTTGAGATGGTTTGTCTAGGGTTGCCTACACAGCGCTTCAACCAAAGACAGACAGAAGATACAGCTACTGAACTCCAGAACAGTCAAGTGTCATGTTTTCCTGAACAATAAAGAGCAATCAGTAAGAACAAATTGCAGATTAAACAGGGAATTGAAATCAGATTCTGCTTTAAATATGTCTGATGTTTCGAGCATGGTTTAACACATTTACAGGCATTCACTGCTGTTACCGGGTATAAAGAAAATCAATTCACAGTCTTGCATTGTTGCTTTGAACGCCCCTTTGGTATGGCAGCACGGTGGAAAGTACAATCACAAAGACAGCAGCACAGTGAATGCATTAGTACCACTTTATAAAACACACTTTAAGGATTGAACTGTGTGAAAACAGTGTAATATGCTGCAGATCTCGTAGAGGGTTTTCTTTTTCTTTTCCATTAGACACAACACTTCCTCAAGCCTTCTTTGCTTCCACACTTCTGCCTGAGTGAAACTGGATACACTCGAATCACACATCCTTTTCCAAATGGAAACAAATGGTGCTTTAAAAGTGTGCCTGCCCAGATTTTCACTTGCCTGGAAAACATCGTTTCGGTTCTTAGGTTTTTGTTCAGTAACGATTTAATGTTGCTTTGAGTGCTCTCAGAGAAAACTGTTGCACAATATCCTGTAACGTTCCTGGAATAAGTCTCACAGAGGTGGCAACCAGTGGATGTGTTTAATAAAGATCTTTTTTGCTGAAAGCGAAACGTGTTTTTCATTGAGTGTCACAGTATTTGAATTGAACAAAGAAACAGGAAACGCTTTAGTTTTTATTTCATAGCTTCTCAGGGATTCTAACGTAAAGGGTAAATTATGGGAGAGATGTTTGCATTTCACTCACAAACAGGTTCCACTGGATTTCGGTTCCACCATAGCAACAACACAGAGGGAAAACCTCCAGCTTCCCCATCCCCCTCTTTCTCGCTGTACATCATTCCAGCCCTAACTCGCAACAAAGCAGCATGCAACTCACAAAGAGCTGAGAACATTAAACCTCAAAAAGTAAAACAATCACTTTTCTAAAACTTTCATTTGATATACACAGATTAGCAAAAGCCGTGCTAAGATTGGGTCGACAAAATAAAACTATAACACTTGCACACGGTGTGAATAACCTTCTATTGTTTGTGGTATGTTTTCCCCAGTGTCCCTGACAGTTACACAGCATTGCTTTTAACAGGAAACGTGTCTGTGTGTGATAGTTTATCTGATGCACTGCCTACAAGAAGCACAGTGATACATGAAAAAACAACATTTTACACCAGCACTGTGAGAAATACAGCAGTACCACAATATTTGTTTAGGAAGCTGTGCTGGCTATTTTTAGAATATGCTACTGTACTTAAAAGACTACAGTATAAGCAGAGCAGCAAATTGTTTCCCCAGCGTGAATGACAAATGTCCCTCAGGAACATTTGAGCCTCTGATGATAGAAGGAAAATATGTTGCTGAGCTCCTGCTGAACCTCTGACTTTACCCAGGCATACCCATCATCTCTGCTGCTGTCAGCTGGCGTCTCAAACACAGGGCTAATGCGTTCTCTGGCCTGGCCCACTGGCTCAATAAAAGAAGGACCTCTAATGTATATTCAAAAACAACTTTTACACAGTCCCCATCTCTGTCAGCTTTATTTAACTTTCAAAAGCATCCCAAATCAGATGTGAAATATTCAGTGTTCGTAACAATATTAAGCACTTTTAAACCTCGTTTCAAAATCCCGAGGCTGCCTTTGTTTTTTTCACTTGTGAGTTGTTTTCTTACTGTTTTAAATAAGCAGATACTTTTTAATATTAATGTTAATTCCCAACTGATATTTTCAGACTGATTTAGAGGTTTTACAGTAACGTCCTGGAAACGCAGATGCAAATATCATTTACACAGCACTACATAGAAGTAGAGAATATATTTATATAGAGAGAACCTGAGGCAGATGCTCATAGAAAGTGATATAGAAAGAATATACAATATGAATCAAGGGTGGATCGTCAACCAGGTGGATTTTAGCTCACTGAGAGCCTCAACAATCCCAGGATATCTGCTGGCTTTAAGTTCAATGCGGCAGAACTGTAACCACTCAGTTGCAATGTAAAGTGAGGTGATCCTTGCACAGATGCACAGCTTTGTGCTGCACTGTTCACTCCTCCCCTGAGTTGTTAGAAGGCGACAGTACTCCCACCTTCCTTAGTTTCTCAAGCCTCTGCAGGGTCTCCACGATGTCAAACTGCCATTGTTTTACCTGCTGCACTGCTGTCAGTCCTTCCTGTAATCACACTGTCACTTTGTTACCACTGAGGTATATAGCATGCAGAGTGTTGAGATGTGAGCAAAAACCATGTTAGCGTTTAATATGCAGGCAGTAAATATGCTTTAAAATAGTGGCAATAAAGTGTAATAACAAATATAATGCTTAGATTTAAAAATCCTAGTGGTTTGTGTGTGTAAGGCGGTGGAGGCCTGGTCCTTTTAGTTTGCAATTTAGCAAAAGTTAAAGAGATGAATAGGTGTGACAGTGGCATGAAACTGAACGTGACACTTGTGATTATGTCATATGCACCACAGTGTTAATATCTTAGCATGAAGACAGGAAACTGCAAGTAGTGTTCAAAGAAAACAGAAGCACATCTGAAGATCACACCTTACATCTTGCTCATTTAAAAAAACAACTCAACCAAAAAACAATGCACCAGTCTGACAGTTTATGAGGTGCTGCTGAACTACATTTCTTGACTTGGATCAAAACTGCCTTTCGTATGAATCAAAAATCAAACTGTCATCATTGTCTCACTTTAGTATGAGATAACCAAACTAGTATTGTATTTGCACATATGGAAATCAAAACCGTCCTGTGAACCAGGTTCTTTACATTTTCACACCCATGCTAACCTGCACACTAATGAGAATTAAAGATGAAAAAAAAAAAAACTCACATGATTTTTTATTTTTGTGTCAGCTCCTGCAACTATGAGCAGCTTCACTATCTTGTATCTGTTGAGACGCACTGCATCGTGCAGGGCTGTGTCACCTTCCTAAAACCAGGTTTTAAAAAAAGCATTTTTGTTAATGACTTAAATAAACTGTAGAGGTCATGAAGCACAGAAGTGGAGCGGAGTTGCCACCTACCCTGTCCCTGGAGTTGATTAAGGCCCCACAAGACAGCAGGTATTCCACAATGGAGGTGTGGCCTGTTCTCGTGGCAACATGCAGAGGTGTGCTATGCAACTGCAGTACAGACAATGATATAATCTGAGATTGTGGGAATGTGTGCAAACTCGTGTTCAATTAGAGGCTGACTGTGGTCTGGTGCAAATGCAGAGCCCACTAAAATTCACATTTACCTTATCTCTAACATTAAGATCAGCCCCGTGGCTCTTCAGGACTTCGACAACCGTCAGGTTTCCCCCTCTGCAGGCCCAGTGTATGGCCCTAGAGCCCAGCTGAAACACAGTAGGAGCCACCACCCCCCATCCCACCCCCCCAATCCCATCCCATTAGTAGTGTAGGCATCAGGTCACTAGAACCAGGAGCTTTAGTTTGAGAAGATAATCTCACTCAATCCCATCATCATCTTTACAAACCTACAGCGTGCACACACGTCTTACTTGATCTTTTAAGTTGATATCAGCTCCTTTTCCTAAAAGCATTTGGACAACTGGAGCATGTCCTTCTAGGCAGGCGCGGTGGAGTGCTGTTCTTTTCAGCTGGCAAATGTAAATATATTATTAGCTGAGATTTTAGCATGCTATATTTTATTCATGTTTTACTGTGATGCAGGAAGAGCCCTACCTCATCGTGGGCATTTGGGTTCCCACCATCTTCCAGATACCTGTCTATGATATCCAGTTTGCACTCACTGGCTGCGTTCATGAATTCTGCAGTATCCACAGGTTCTATCTGTCCACACAGACACACACAGAGGAGCAGGAGAGGCAGAGGTTCACTTTATACATCTTTGACATGAAGACACAGCTTCTGAAAATCATTCTCACCACTTGCTTTTCCACAGACAGCCTGGGCTTGAATGTTTTTTTGGTCTTCTTTTTTCTTTTGCCCAGCTCTGAGTTATCCTGTTCTGCACTCAGGTCCAAACTCTCGCCGCACAGGTCCAACGAGATTCTCCCCGTTCTCTCATCTACCTGCAAAATGACGGGAACAATAACAAACACAGTTTGAAAACCTAGATCAGCGAGGGAATGTTGGCTTTGGAAGCAGTGGTGCCAAGCAAGCTATGGGGTGTTGAGAGCCGGGAATGACAGTGTTAATGTCAAAACAAATTCACAGCATAGTGCAAACCAGGCTTGGCCATAGCAATAGAAACATTTCAGATAAAATGCCTCTCATGTGCTGTTCATAGTCACATTTTTGTATTAGTTATCAGATTTAATGTCAAACAAGCACGACACCTGCAACACTTACTCATATGTTTTTAATTTTTCTCATTAAGAACTTTTTGGAATTTTGATATTGTGATAACAACAGAAAAATACATTATATAGTCTGTGCTGGCAGAGAGAGAAAGGGGGGTGTCAAACAATTATCATTTTAGGAGTCAACAGGAGAATGACTGCAAAAGCCACAGCAGGAATAAAGCTTTTACCTACCTGGGTTTTCTCTTCTTGTCCTGTCTCATGGTCCATCACACCGGCCCACTGTGCAACGTTTTCCATCCCTGGGGTAAAATATGCACAAATGCAATAATAATATAGTAATATCGAACAACTAAATGTTCAATAATCTAAAATATAATGGAATAAAACTGTCAGATCATACAGCTTATAGAGAAGTGCTGTTGGGCACAGTGGCTTGATGGCTTCAGTGACTTCAGTGACTTCATGGTGGGACATTGTGTTACTCCGACAAACAGGTGTGTGTGTACTTTGCCGTGTACTTGCCAGACCTACATTCTCGCTCACTCTCTTCCTCTGTCATGCCCACACACACACAAACACACACACACACACAAAGAAAAAGACCCTTTAGGCATGTCCTACACAGAGGGTATATTCACTGCATAAGCTCCTGGGTTTACTCCCTCCTGTAGCTGCCACAGTATGCCCTTCTCTTTTACTTCAATATTCCTTTCATAAACATGCTGGTTTGAGGGATTATGCTGTTTATAAAGGTTTGATCACTGTCAAGTGATATCTCGATTGGTCACTCAGTCTGTTATTTTGTTTGGTTAATTTTGATAAACTGCATCCAGAATTGCAGGTAGGACCAGTGTGCACTGGGGGAGGGTCTTTAGTTGTTTTCACCTGAGAGAGTCAGGCAGCCGATAGATAAATCAGCAAAGGGCATGGATTTTGTAAATCAACTGCCTTTGTCTGCATACAGTACATGACACAGGGCTGTTTGATAACGGGTTGTGCGGCAGCTACACAAACACTTCTCCTTTTTAGTGCTTAAAACCTTTTAGGTGTACTTCAGTGTTGTATTTACCATGTCTGACACTTCCCCCCTTTCACGTGATGTGTTTGTGCAGATTTTAATTGTATAGACACACACACTCACTTGGTCCCACTCAGTCAGAAATGTTTGCAAATGAGTGACATGTTAATGTTTAACCAGTGACTCTGAAGGAAGTGACAGAGTTCAGACAGATAGGAAGCAGCAGCAGCCATTTTAGCAGAACATAACAATAGATGTTGTTATGTTCTTCTCCTCTCCTCTCACCCATGGAGCTCAGGCAAGGACACAGTTAACAATCAGCTTGTCTTTTATCATCCTGGCTGTGAGTACCGTTGCTTATATTACTCAAATTGATGTTGATCTTGGCTTTTTACTGTGTAAAAACCATTTTAAAAGAGTGTAAGCTCACATTTTTCAGTTAAATTTACTCTAATGTCTATAATTACAGAGGTTTGTATCTGCCATAGAAAGAGTTTAGTTCATGACGTTGCTGTTATAAAGTGGAGACTATGTTCACTGCCGTGAGTTCAGCACTGTGTGTGTTTCAGGTGAAAGTACGAGCGCCATGGTAACGCTGAATCGCTTGAGTGTAGCAGACCTGGACGACAGCTCTCAGCAGCTGCCTGAGGCCGCAGAAGCGGCAACCCCAAGACCAGCCTTTCACAGGAAGAAAGTGGTCCCAAAGACTGACTCCAGAGATGTTTTTCTCAACAGGTGCAGCACATCTGTAGTACTGCATTTCCTTTGTGGGCTATTATCTGTGCTATTTATAACTAACACTATATTTTGTTGCATTAAAAAAAACCCAATCTGCTGTAAAGAGAGGAGAACCTTTTCTTTAGCCTGATGCTGCTGATCGGATGTTATTTGGCTATTCTGATTCCTGCTTATCTCCCCGCGGACAAGGTGGCAGCTATCAGAGACGACTATCAACAACCCAAAGATATGGTACAGATGCATCTTTGTACATCTTGGCAAGTATTTGAGATGGTTTCTTTCAGCTTAAATGTTTTTCCCTCTCTTCAGGCCGTACTAAATCGGTCAGCCTCTCTGCTGGCAGGACCTTGTCTGCCTCGCTGGTGTCTAAACCACCTCAAGCACCTGTCTTGTCCTGTTGGCCTCCAAGACATCCCTGTGTTTGTACAGCAGGAGAGGCGTGAGCCATGGAGTCTGTCTCCTCCTCTTGGGTTTCAGGGCATCGAACAGCATCTCGCTGTAGCGCTCGCCACTCTGCCTCAACCTGGCCTGCCTCCATCATTGAAGAGAGAAGGCAGCTGCACGCGATGCGTGGTCGTGGGTAGTGGAGGAATTCTTCATGGGAGCCATCTTGGATCACATATAGATCAGTATGACATCATTATCAGGTATGCATTCCTGTGTCAAGTGGACACCAAAGACAGACTGTGGCGCCTATTTTTAAACCGTTGTGATGGTCGTCATCTCACAGGCTCCATCTGTGTTACCAGGCTGAATAATGCTCCGGTGCACGGCTTTGAGAGAGATGTTGGTTCGAGGACAACCATCCGCCTGACGTACCCAGAGGGAGCACCTCACTCCTCAAACGAGTACAGAAAGACTAGCATATTTGCTGTGGTGGTCTTTAAGAGCCTCGATTTAGACTGGCTTACTTCTGTCATCACCAAACAACCTCTGGTAAGGCCACATCACAAGATCCTCCACTGCACACGGAAAGGGCATATTGCACACAGAAGCATCATGTCATGTAGCAATGGCACTATACTATCTTCTTTTATTTTTATTTTTCAATAGAGCTTCTGGTCCAAAATGTGGTTCTGGAAGGAAGTTGTGGATCATATCCCCCTGACACCAGAGAGCTTCAAGATCGTCCACCCAGAGATTATTCACAAGATGGGCCAAGTTATAGAGAAATATGAACTGAACCAGAGAAATGTGAGTTTCTATGAATGAATAATCTGTGGACATTAATGACTGTGCAAATAACAAAATTACTTTCACTTAAAATCATAAACTCACAGCCGTTAGGAGGGCTTTTGCTATCATGCTGAGTAATTCTAACGAAACGGGACTGAACTTATGTTGCAAACTATGTCACAGGTCGTTTTTTTTTCCTCCCCAAGAACATATTGCCAACAATTGGTGCCACTGGAGTGGTGATGGCTTTGCAGATGTGCGACCAGGTGAGCCTGGCTGGGTTTGGGTATGACATGCAGCACCCCGAGGCCAGGCTTCATTATTATGAGGCCATACGCATGGACACAATGAAGTCTCAAGTAAGTTTAGCTTAATGATCAAAGCAGTGGCAAGGAGGCGTCTGAGCTTCATGCTTCGACTCATTTTTCTCCCTATGATTATATCCAGGTGGTGCATGATATAACTGCTGAAAAACTCTTCTTGAAGGACCTGGTGGCTGCAGGCGTAGTGACTGACCTAACAGGAGGGGTATGAGTCAAAGATTGGTGATATACAGAACTGAAGAACCCTACACACTGCAGACTGATTCTAAAATGCTCACAGCATCATGTGGTTAACTGATTGCTGAGCATATTTAACTCCAAGTGACGGTAGAGGCTAATTTTTCTCATTACAATTCAATGAACATGTTAAATCACTGGATCCTGTTCTGTAATTGTGATAGGAGAAGCTAAATTGTGCTACCACACAGAAACATGTGATGGTCTAGGTTCACACTGTACTATTTCAACTGAGTTTACAATTTAATAAACATAAAACATAAGAATGTGAGACTACTGATTGTTTTTTCTCAAAATTTTTTTCTCGTTTATTAAGACAGACAAACCATAATTACTATTACTATGTTTCCTTCATACATCTTATTACGCTGCCATTAGTAAAGGCAAAAAAAGGGACAATAGCTGCATTTCTTAAAAACAAACCAAAAAAAACAAAAATCAGCCACAAATTTTAAAAAGAAAAAAAATATCTCAGTAAAATGATACAAATATTTAGATTAATAATAAATATGAACTAAGTCAAATACATATTAAACAACATATTAAAATACTCAAAAATTAGGAAGTGGAACATGCTTCATAAAAGACGAGGTGTGTACAGCGCACAGTGGGGTTTGATTTATCTAATCAGAAATCAAAGTGCTTTCAATAAATAATTTTGGGTCTTATTAGGATTTTAAACACAATACAAAAATACACTGACAATGAAACAGAACACAACATGTAAAATAAGAGTTGTTTTTTTTGTTCTTGGCTACTCTGACCCACTGTGAGAGCGTGGGTCTGTCTACAGCAGTGGGTTGCGTGAGGGCTCCCATAATTTGCTTGCCAGCTGCCTGCAGTGCTGGAGGATGATCTCAGTGGGGATGACTCCCAGGTGAACTGTTAGGAGCTCGTAGCATTTCACTGTCTCGCCCGGGTGATTCTTACTATAGTACCGAAGCAGCTTCCTGCAACATGCATCGCTTTGTTTAGTCAGGAGAACGAATTAAAGAAAAATATTTCTATCACACCAGGCTTGGTTACCTGTAGTAATTCTGAGCAAGCATCCCGATAGGGGCGGAGTCATCGGGCATGATGGGTATGTCTTTTGCCTCCAACTTGAAGCCCTGATTGAAGAGGTATACGAATTGAATTATAGGCTTTTTTGCTGTTTCAGGCTGTTAAATTTGTTTTCATGGATAACAGAACAAAGTACAGCAGTGACTTACAGTTTCATTTTCAAACCAGAGAAAGTAGCAGAAGTAGAAATCTCCATCACGTAATGTTAGAGTGGAGTAACCCTTCTGAAGATAGTGCCGTGTTGTGCTGACCAGGCTCCACATCTTCAGTATGGATTAGAAAAAAGAAATGACAAAAATATGCATACTGTGATTATCCACACGCTGTCTTATGCACAGCCTAATGTACGATGAACATGAGGCTACAGATAGCTGGCCTAATTTATCACAACACTAGGAAACAGTCGACACATAAACTTACCACCACACATGAAACAAAACTATCTGTACATGTTTGACTTCCAAGAAGTCAGACTTTGTCATTTTTTGAGTAATTGGTCACCAAGCTTTCTGAAGGTCTTTCAAAGCTTTTCTTTGATATTGCCTGCCTTTTCACCAATTTTCAGTCCAGTCCTTGCACCTGACCATTTGCAGAGTGATATAAAAAAGGCACCTACCACAAAAGACGAATTAATGTTGTGTCTAGACGTAACAGAAAATTTAGCAAAAGGCTTACTTCAAATTCCTTACTACCTTTGGCACTTTGTTACTAGCAGCCTGTTCCACAAACACACAGTTTGCTGACATTTCTTTAGTTGAGTCTAGGAAAAATGCCAAAGATGACATAGCTTGATAGACATAAAATTGTATTTTTGAACCAACAATGTGATTCCCAAAAAGCTATTAGCTGAAAACTTGTCATATCCTTAAAAATGCAACTGAAAACTGAACAAGTGAAGGCCAAAAAAGAAATGGCAGGCCTAAAACCCAGCAGATGAACAGAAAATGGAAAACATTCCTGCAAAGACCTGACACAGCAACTGAGAAATGCATCTGACCATTAGGTCTACTGTTCATTGAAGAGAGAAATTGACTGAAGTAGGGCAACAGATCTTATCGAGTGAGAAATTCAAATTTGACATTTTTTGTTCAAATAATCATCAATATGTACAGAGATGAGACGAGTAGAACAGTCGAGTGTCTGCAGTTAGCTACAGCTACTCTATTTCCATCTATGTTTGGACACATTCCAATAAATCAATTTACCCATTTCCCATTTTCCCAGCAAAATAGAAAGAAATGACGAGGGGGCTATTGACTTCTATACTTTACCCCAAAACAAATAAGATGTAGTTCTAGTTTTAGTGACCTTGTTTTTGATATACTGAGCCACTGGTCCCTTCCCCAGCTCAGACGTGGTCCGCTCTGTGATGCTGAGTGATGGCGCTATCATTTGTCCGCTTGATCGGTCCACACAGATAAAGTGGACGAGGCCTGGGAAATCCTCCAGGTAAGTGAGATTAATCAGTTAAGATTAATACGCTCAGCATAACAATTGGTTTGTTTTTTGGGTTTTTTAAGTGTATGTGTGTTGTTAAAAACCATAAAAATACAAAATATTCTTTTACAAATATTACAAATTCTGCTTTGTAGAAAACAATTGCAGAGAAATTAGACAAAACAGGACATCACAGAGTTGCTGCACTGAGAGGATATGAGACCATGGTGATGTTCCTCTTGCTTTTCACTAACAGGAAGTCCTTCCAGTCCATCAGTTGCTCCCTTAGAGAGTGAGACAAAGATAGGAAGACAAAGAGGATACAGACAAAACAATGAAGGACGAGGTTGCACAGTGTCAAAATAAAAAAATGAAGTCAAGTTGGCAAGCCTAAAATATAACAACGAAAATAGTAGCTGACAGACACTCACTGCACCATGGTCTGGGCCCGCTCTCGCAGGCCAGGGGAGAGACGACGAGGAGTGTCGTCTGGTCCAGAGTCAGACAGAAAACACTGTCGGTATATGCCACACAGTTGGGTCTTCATGTTCTTGCACCACGGGATAAGACTGCAACATAAACAGACATTTAAAGCCTCACAGGGTCATCAAACTGTCTTGCTGTCATTTGGCCAGCAGAGGGCAGTAAGAGACTTACTCTCTGCTGAACCCAGGCCCTCCTCTGGAGAAGGCCCGGTTTTTGAATTCGGTCCAGACATTTTGCAACTGTGAGGACTGGTTAGAAGAAGAAAAGACAAAAAAAAAAGAAAAAGATTTGATTGGATCATGTGCAAACATTCTGTGTTTCTGTGATAACAAATGAGGATTAAAGTCAGTTTGTTGACTTGGGTGTTTGTGGCAAAGGCAGACGAGTGCTGAGGAAGTGCAGAAGAATACAGCCACTCAACGCAAAAGCACAACAACACACAAAAACAAACCTGTATCCCATTCAGTGCCAGGGTTTTAAGGAATTTATCCAGCTTGCTGCGCACTTCATGCATAGGCTGGCCTCTTGTGGAACCTCCTTGGCCTTCATTTAAGCGCTTCTCCAGTTTGGCAAAGGCTTCCCAAAATGTATACACAGACATGGCTACTCCACTGTGTGGAAACTGACACAGATGACACAGATAAATATGAAAAAAAATGAACTGTTTAAACAACTGAGCAAAAATATATTTAGATGCTGTGAACACTTCATGGCACAGAGGTTAAATAGATGTATCTCCAAATAAGTCAAAAAGACTCCCCCTACTGGCCACAAACCACAATATGTCTGTGCGCACATACTGTAAACAAGCAAATTACTGCACATATAGACTGTACGCGACTTCATATGGAGTCACTAATACACACATTGTTTGCTTGTTGGTATTCACAAACCTTAGTTAGCAGAACTAGTGTGATGCCAGGCCACAGTTTGAGACAGTACATGGAGTGAGGCATCATGGGATAGAGGCCATCTTTTTGCGAGACCTCTAAGAAGACTTTGTGAGGGGTTGCTGGATCAGGTGGATAAACTTCTAGAGTACTCAAGCTGTCCTCTGCCATCTGAATACAGTGTGTTTCACATTGTGTCAGGGTAACACACAAACAGAAAGCTGTTTACTTTGTTTACAAATGTATTCTCACCTGGATGTCTGGGTCTACAAACTCAAACACAGGAGTGCTTCCCCTCACTGGCTTTTCTGGTGATGTGAAAAATAAAGAAACAAATGACGAGGAACATGCTCTGCACACTTAACATGACTTAATCTGGTCACAGATACAGTTTGAGAAGTAGGAATCTGCATTTTGTATCTACTCGGTTTTATCCTTGTCTGTTAAAATCTGTTTGATGATCTGAAAACAAAAGCTCTACTCAACAACCCACCTGAACTGCTTGAGTCTTTGTCTGTAGGTGAGGGCTCTGGGGTGTAAAAACTTTCATGGCCAGAACCAGATGTACTATCAATATCCTTCAGGCAAAGTGCACAGAGAGAGAGAATAAACACTCAGTAACAACATGCTGTCGGTGCTGTTTGAGAGGCTGTCGCCACTTTGTACCTCTGGACTTGGGTCATCCACATCCACGTTGCTAGGATACATATTCTGTGCCATGATGATGAGGGCCAGGAGGTCTGAGGTGCTGAGTATACTTGCATTGCGACTAGAAAGAAATAGATGGTTGTAGCCATTACCATGTTGAATTGTAAAAAGTAAAAAAGGTAGGTATGAGTATATGAACTGTAAGTACAGGTGATATACGAGAAGGGTGTAAGCTATAAAAATAATGTGACAGGTTTATAGAAACATCTGTACCTGGAGTAGAAAGCGAGCAGTTTGGTGTGAACCAGGATGAAAGCATGCAGCACCTCCTCTCCTCCTCTCTCTACGCTGCTGTTGATCTGCTGAACCAAACGGCGCTCCAAGAATTCGATGCACTGCTCACACAGTGTGGGGTGGATCAGCCTCTCCACCGCCTAACAGAGTGATGATGGTGATTTTTAAATAAGATTTTAAAGAGAATTTTTTTTTTTTTAAAA